AATTTGGAGTTTGGAGTTAGATGTCAGTAACATGATTATTCTGTTTGGTTCTCTCTCTCTCTACAACCCCAACAGTGCATACGTGTTAAATCAGAAATATATATTACAGAGTTCAACATGTTAAAGCAAATGTTTCTTATTTAATTCTCCCTCCCTCCCTCCCTCTCTCTCTTTTTTTTATTTTTTTATCTCTCTCAGGAGTTGAAGCCTACAGCCTTTCTGTCCATGCAGCAACTGATGGAAAAGGGGGTCTTTTTTTTATGATTTTGTATTATGTGTTATTGCAAAAATGAGTATATACAGTATATAAATATGCATTCTTGAATCATTCTTGAGTCTTGTGTCTTGCCTCTCTACAAACTTTTAAATATCTGGCTGTAATTTAGTGACAGCAAATGCTGATTTCATTTGATTCCATATTTATTATACCTGATAATGAGCTAGTTAAACTTAAGGGGGTTAATCAATATACAGTATATTTCAAGAAACTAAGACTTAAGGTACTCCACTTTTTCAGTTGTTTAAAGACTGAAACTAATTTTTCATTTATTAAATTCATTTAAATTTAAAATTGTTATCTCAAAGCAGGTATTGCACACTTTGTAATTAACATCTGATGCATTTATAAATCAAAAATCACAGTTGAAATACAAAAAAATGTTCCTGAGATTCAATATCTTTAACTAATGGTTTAACTTGCAGTTACTGAATTTGTTCATTCAACTTAAAATTGTAAGTTTTCGTAGAAATATAGACTATGTAAATATAGAAATATAGACTATGTACATCTGTATGTGCGAGTGTGCAATACTGACTTGTGTGCAAAACAATAGTACAGTAACATGTAGCAAATTGAGTGCAACTACACTGTAAACAATTATTTAGCAGTTTAGTTTTCAAATTATTTTTTTATGTTGACAACTTGCAGTTACTGAATTTGTTCATTCAACTTAAAATTTTAAGTTTTCACTGTCTCAACTAGTTTGTAAGTTGACTGAACTAGAGTATTTGTCCTCTCAACTTAAAAAAAGGTGTTGAATCAATTCAATAGCAATATCACGTTCTCAACATCACTTACCGCGAGATCTCGTGAAGGCCATTGCATGCAGACAGAAGACGGTCGTCAGCCATCTTGGTGAGCTTCTCCACAAAGTTTAGAAATTTTCTCAGAATACAACTTTGGTATGTAAAATATTTGTATTTATTGGCTTAACGTGTAAAATTACGTATGTTGTCTAAGAAGAGTAAGTATGGTTTAAACAGTCGTATTTTCTAGTTGTATCCCTGTTGTAAAAACCAGCATATGCTGGTTAGGTATGTTTTGAAGCTGGGATGCTGGTTTGAGCTGGTTTAAGGTGGTCCTTTGATGATTTGAGCTGGTCCTTTGCTGGTTTAAGCTGGTCCTTAGCTGGTCATGTGCTGGTCTTAAGCTGGTCGGACCCCAGTAGAGTTCAGAATGTCTATGAATGCTGATTCCATTGCATCTTTTTCATTATCATCATGGATATTAAAATCACCAACAATTAAAACTTTATCTGCAGCCAGCACTATCTCGGATATAAAATCAGCACATTCAGGTCAGTTCTGCCGATATGAGTATTGCTGTGTGTGTGTGTGTGTGTGAGATTTTGTGGGCCCACTGCTATTAATGTTTAATTCTGTTGATACACTTGTTGCTTAGATGATATTTTCTGCAGAGTTAAGTTTGAGTTATTTGCTCATTTAAGGACTCTGTCATATGGCACCCGCCCACTCTAAAGCGGTACTGAACTGCAGTGGAAACACAAACTGTGCCGAGCCAAACCGTGCCGTGCCGTACTGAGCCGTACCGAGCCGAATCGTACCACGCAGTGGAAAAGCGCCAATAGTTGAAACTAACCAAACATTTACTGTCATTTGCTAAACCGTGTGCACAGCCATAAGTGTAAAATACATGGTTAAAATACATTGTTGGGTGATACATGGTTTCAGGTCAATTGTAACTCAGGAATCCTTCTAATTTGAACATTTAAGTATTTTGTTTCATTTGTATTATCATTTCAAATTACTGTTTCATTAAATTACTTATCTTTATTTGTTAAATCCTATCTTTATTTGTTTGTGAGTATTATAATATTTGGGGATACATCTTATTGAAGTAGGACCCAGAGACAAGTAGGTTAAAGAGATCTTTATTCAGACAACAAACAAAAAACAAACAAAAAAAAAGAGTACTAAAAAAAGAGTACAGTGTAGTCAGAGCGGGGGCCTTAATCCAGCATCACAAGGCATTTAGTTTCTGAACCTGGTGCTGCTCCTTACAAAATTCTACTCCAGACAGGTAGGGGGCGCTACATTAATATAAATATAAAATGATGTACCATCTAGTGTGTTTACTTGATATTCTTATTTTCCCCATCATGTTTTGTAATGTTCAGTTTTGAGTCAGTTGCTCAGTTTCTCCACTAGATTTTTTTTAATTTTTTTTAACAACTTTATTAATCCCACAAGGGGCAATTAAAGTAGGGATAAACTAAAAAAAACAAGCTATTACATACAACTTTATGATAAATTCGTAAAGAGACACATTTCTCTGAGATAATTAGGTAAATGTCATTTAGCCTGAAAATATGAATCTTAAAATTGCCTCCAGTTGGTCAGGTAAGATAAACAATAATAATTGTATTTATTTATTTATTTTAGTATAATAAAACACTTTAAAAAAAACAATAATTTCCATTAGTTTTTCTTCTTGATATTATTATATTACTTGATATGAACTTCACTTCTGCAGATAATATGAACCTTATAGACATTCAATCAATAATTTTACAGTTTGATTAAAGGGGTCATCGGATGCCCATTTTCCACAAGTTGATATGATTCTTTAGGGTCTTAAAGAAAAGTCTGTAACATAGTTTGGTTAAAATTTCTCAATGATAGTGTAAAAAACACCTGTTTTACCCTGTCAAAATCAGCTCTTTTCAGATCAAGCCGTTTTGTAGCATTTTCCTTTAAATGTTAATGAGTAGTTTTGAGTAGTAATTGGGCGGGTTTTGTAGCGAAAACCTGGCAACCCTGCACCAGACAGAGCTGTCGGCGATTCTTCCTATTGTAAAGTCATGCAGTGTGTAACCTCCTGTCGTCGATCCATCGTGCAGTGTGAACACAGCAACAACTGAATGCTACCCCAGATAGTCGTTCACTGTGAAACCAACAGTGATGCGTCTTTGAAAATCGTGCAGTGTGAACTCGGCATTAGCCGCATTCATCGTGAAACTTGCTAATTAGCACATATTAGGAAAGGCTATTTGCAAAGATTCATTAAAAAACTTTATACTCACTTCTTCTGTAGATGAGTCTGGATCATGAATGATTTGCGCGAACATAGAAGCATTTATGTAGATCGGGGGCGCATTCTCTTCAGAAACAAACGTAATCCACTGCGAGTTCAGCGGCTCAGATGTCGGGAGTAAATGAAGACTGCTATGTTCATTATTACATCCAACAACAGAACACCTCAATCGCTTAGGAGTCATTCTTGTCTACATCTGCTCCGGCAGTGAAACAATGGAGGACTGATGACAGCTCACTTAGGGCGGGTCTAAGATAAGACGCCAGTCCAGTCTGTGAGGAAACGCTACTGTCAATCAAACTATCATGGGAGAGGCCTGTCTGTGTGACGTCACACAGGCATCTGAGATCGGCTCGATTTGAGAAAGGGGTAAAGATTTTAGTAGATTAAAAAATTTTTTTTTTTATCATTATAGGGTGGTAACACACATTTCAGTTCAAACAACTTGTAAAAGTGCATGTAGCATCAGATAACCCCTTTAATATCCATCAGTGATCAGAGTTCAACGGGAAGAGTGTGTCAGTGAAGGAGGTTGTGAATGTGTGTAGATGTGTGTTAGTTACAGGATCAGAGAACGACACCGTTCCTCTGTCATAGTCCAGATTCACTCTCACACGATCAAGCTGCTGTTCAACACCAAAACCAGTAACAAAAGACCATCTGTACCTCACACACCAGACATCAGTGTTAAAGAAAACACCTCCCTTCCTCCGGTTTGATGCTGTAGTTACTCCAAGAATCCAGCGTTTACTCTCTTTAACCTCCACATCCCAGCAGTGTGTTCCTGAGTTAAAACCCTCTGAACCCAGAACACAGAAATAATGTTTAAATCTCTCCGGATTATCAGGAACAGGTTGTTTGTTCCCGCTGTTTCTCACACTGGTCAGATCATCAGACACGACGAGACGTGGATCTGCAGTGTTTGGATCCAGAATCACAGGAGCTGACGAGACACAATCAACAGATGCTGTTATTCTGATGTTCATATAATGATCAAGAGTGAACCCAACACAGATGATTATGAATTATGACATAATAAGGGCTGGACTAAAGAGGTCATCATCTTAATTCGTTCATTATAAAAATGACTGTAGATCCAATAAATATTGACATTTTTGATATTTGTAGATAATGATCACAGAGTAATTTCACATATAAATGATGACTGATAAATGCAAGACAGATAAACAATTCATTGCAATTTAGTTATTTCATTGTGACATCATCACAAAGTGAGCTGCTGATTTTGGTGCAGTAGATAATCTGATTCTTCACACATAATGCTGAAATCTGTCAATATTGCATCATTTCCAGTGTGTTTGAGACTGAAATCAAACCACATTCACTTCAATCGTCTCCATCAACACACATCAACACAATCACATCATTCAGATCTGAGAGAAACTCAGATACCGACATATAACGCATCCAGAAGCAGATTGATGATCGTCATTTACACAAATAATCAACTGGAGTCCATTATATTAAATATATCAGATCATAACTGTATATAGTGATCCTACAGCTGTAATGAAAATGACTCTGGATTCTGTTTCCTTACCTTGATGTGTTGAACTGTTTCATCAAACTCTCTGTTCTTTGTTTCATTGCGTTTTAGTTTCTCTTGTAATGATTTCAGTGCTGTATTGAGCTCCTCCTAGAGTTAAACAAAAATACATTAAACACCAGATTACAGTGAAAAAAGAAGAGAAAACAATACAGTGACATGATCATATAATGCAGTGCAAAAGTCCTGTAAATCCTGATTACTTCTGTTTTTGTGTGAATCTCATAGTAAATTAATTCAGAAATTATAACCTGCCATAAAACAAAGGCAACCTGAGTGAACACAAAGCACAGTTTGTAAATTGAAATGTTATTTATTGAAGCAAAATAGTTATTCAATACCAACTG